TCAGTTGGGGGCCACCATCAGTGAGGGTTGAGGTTTTTTGGGGGGGTTGGTTTTATTGCTTCTCACTTGTGTGGGCCCTGACGAGGGTGTGTGTGTTTTTTTTTGCTTGGGTGTGTTTTTTGTGGGTCAGTAGCCCTGACCCGAAAAAGGTTCCCTGTTCCTGCCATAAATAAAGACAATGTTGAAACCGTTTGTGTTGGACATACTATTTTACTTTATTTAAAAGGAAGTTTGGTAAACTAACATGAGAAAGTAGAAGTGCTCAGCCCCTATCTGGCCACAGTGTCCTGTCCCCAGTCCTGGGACAAGCCCCACGGTTGGCCCCCATCTGGTCACAGGAAGGGCTGCTGGTGGGAGGCCACAATCTGGCTATGGTGATCCTGGCCCAGCTTCTCATCCAGCTACTGCTGCCCAGGGGTAGCAGCCCAGCCAGGTAAGGTAGTCTAGCCCTAGTCCCTACCCCCCATAGTCTACTTTCTACCCTCAGTGTGCTGCCCTGCCTCCTGCACCTCCCCCACACACCCAGCCTCCTGCCCTGAGCCCCTCATACAACCCAACCTTGACTCCTGCATCCACAATTTTTCATTTATGCTATTAATCATGTCAATTATCAATAATACTAAGTTGTATATTTACAGTCATGCAAGTGGGCGGTATTGTATACTGGCGCTTTGTTGACCATTTGTTCTGATTTTTTTATGTAGTTTGGCTCTTTGGTTTGAAAAGGTTGCCAACCCCTGGGCTAGGTCATACACCTGGTCTTGTGTTAGCAAGGGGATGGAAATGCAGATGAGGGTGATTGGATATTGTGCTTTGTCGTGCATCCATCTTTTATCTCCCACAATTTAAGGTTGAGGTTTGTGATGTGTACTAGCTGCATATGAGTTCTGAATGGAGTCTAAGGTGTTGATACTGGCCTATAATTGGACCTGACTTGCTTAGTGGGGAGACTGCCTGTCTTCCTGGGCTAAATTGGCTCAGTTGTGAGAGAGAGCCCTTGATAGCGCCCTATGGTATAAAAGAGAGGGAGCTGCTGTCAAGGTAAGGGCCCTTGATCTTTTCCCCTGTACTTTGTGAAAAATAGCCTAAAATTGTTGGCATCAGGGCATGATGCAAGGCCTGTCTTTTCACAGAATTTTTCAAGTTTCTCTGTTAAATGGGTCATTAGGGAATCTGGGATGCTCCTCTTCATATTTTCATTGTTGTTCAATTAAGTTACTGCCATTATGCTGTTGCTGCTGGGTTATGTTTTGTATGTTTCTGATTTCAAGAACACAAGAGCTTGGGTAGATGCCTTGTTTTGATGATTGTAAATGCAAATATATTCAAAACAAAATGTCAGGATTTTAAATTGGCTAACTGCTTATGTTGATTCCAGAGTTCACCTGTTATGTAATAAACAGTTCAGTTTAAATTCAGCATTTCCCTGCAACGTGTGGAACCCAAACATGACAGAATTGAAACTCTTTGCTGTTTGCTAGCATAATTCTAGTGCAAGGTATTCTTGAGTGTAACAAAAATTAAATTGACAGATCTTCTTTCATCATCCAAGTTGAAAGAAATGCTAAGAGCACAAGGTAAAATAGATCAGATCTGTAACATCATTTTGTCTTTATCAATGATGATGTTAAAGGAATGTCTAAGGAAAATTGTAGGTTTAAAATGCCATTTCTGATATAACCATCTCACTTGAAGCCCTTCTTCCAAATAAACTGAATAGATGAAGTAAAACTACAGTCTCTGGCTAAGAATTAAACTGCATAGTTCATTAAAACTGGAAGTTCTTACCACAACAGCTTGTGGCCAGGTGAGAAGCACCTCTCCACGGCTGCTACAGCTGCAGTGAGCACAGCCGGGGAGGGGTTCTTGTCCCCCAGCAAGGGTACAGAGACAAACACAAACAAACTCTCTGAAATATATAGTAGATAGCTGTTCTTCTCTTCACCCCATCCCCATC